TTAAGGGATTCGAGATGGCTTAAGCAGATGGATGGAAAAGGGTGATCAATGACAATGACTCAAGTAATGCAATAATGGTGCTCACCAAAGTTGGTTATGTTGCTCATGAGTCCCACCTGGTGACTCGAATACGAGCATGGTTGGTGAAGGATTGGAGGGTTCGTTTTCAACACATCTATATGGAAGTTAATCAGTGCGTTGACTGGCTAGTGAACTTGTCACTGGACAATCAACATTAGGACACATTTATTCGATTTCATGTTCCCCCACTTGGTCTGAGTCTTCTAGATTGGCTGATTTGGCTTCTGTAAATTTTGTCCGTAGAATTGGTATTTGATTTCTGTTTGTGTTGTTGTCTTGTGTTTGTTGGGCCCCTCATTTTCATAAAAAAGGGTCATGTTAATAAGCTTGTCATTATACGTATTAAGAGTATGTTTGACACAATTTTTTTTAATTAAAAAGCTACTTTTAATCTAAAACTAAAAAAAAGAGCTTTAAAAATAAAGCTAAAAACTGTTTCATGATTATATAAACTTTTTTTGCTTAAAAGTTACTTAAAAGCTCAAATTAAAAATAAGTTCATACAACTTAAAAAAGCTTGTCCTAGATCATATGTTCGATCTTCCCTAGTACTATTTTTGGTATCTTTAAAGCCTTAATCCTGGATCAGTCCCGAACAGGATTGTCTCTCATGGTTTATCCAAAAAAACTCTTTTTGTTATAAGAGTTTTTGTAGAAACCTGTTTGACCTAACTTATACTTATAGAAGAGAAGCTAAAAAAAAATCTCTCAAACACGCACTAAACAATCTTATTACTTAACATTAAACTATCAAATGATTTATTTATTTACTTTTTTAAATTTCATGTCGTCACTAAATATGAAATAGCATTAGATAATTTTTAGGCAATTATACTTCTCATGTTGCTGCAAAAGAAGTTTTTATGCAGCAGACACATATTTACTAGAATACGACATTGGATCCTGACATTTTTTTTAGGTTTATTTTTTCTAAAGTTACTTTTTAAATCTTTGTCTAATGTTCGCTGAAATAATATCGTTTTGGGGCAAAAATCATGGTGTATTTGTAATTTTAATTTATTTAAGGGTTATAATAATCTTTATCATTCTAATTTTTTAATTTTTCAACCCAAAATGACACCATTTCAATGAACATTAGACAAAATTGTCTAAAGTAACATTAGATACTTTTTTTTCTCCTTTTTATTATAAAAAAACCAATGAATCTTATTTTTCTGCATCTGATGCAAAATTTTACTTTTTGCAGCAACCGCAACCGCAGGAAAAAAACCCAAATTTTTATTGATAATATCATTAGATAACATTAAGGGGCTGTTTGGTAGGGATTTTTCTTTTATATACCCAGGCAAATCAAATTGATATTCCAACTTTACCATGTTTGGTACAAGTTTAACAAAAATTAAACCATGTAAATGATTTCCCAGCATTTGTCAATTGTGTGTATAATGTGATAAAAATCACTCTTTCATAATACCACATCTCAAGTTGTATTTTGCTATTACCGGGGAAAGAAAAAAGGTAAGCAAAATTGGGGACAAAAATAACCCTCTATAATGCCGTTTCACAAAATTAATTGATAAACAATGCCTCTTCAAAAAGTTCAATGGCGTAACCCTATTTTTGCAGTAACCAAATCCTTCTTCATAACGTCTGTTTGGTAGCATCGACCCTCTAAGTCCTTCTTCATAAGGAGGATTTATATCATCCTTGATCCTTGTTTCCTTTTGATAAAGTTCCTTCTTTCATTGAAAAATCGCCTTTAACACTTAATATTTTCCCATATTTTCTATATCAGCAGTTTTTGCAGGTATATAACACTTTATAACCCCTTTGTAGTGGCCAAAGCAGGTTTGCAAAAACCTCCACTAATCACGATTGGTTAGGATTTTGGGTTTTTCAAAGTAATTATGTGGTGAGAAGAATTGAACTTTTCTGTTGAGTAGAAATCATTTTAGGAGGGTGTATTGGATTGAGATTTTAAAGGATTTTAATGTATTGTTTTTGAACAAAAAAATCCGTTGGTATTCAATTAAGATTTTAATGGATTGAAAAAAATTCACGTGGTATTTGATTAGGATTTCAAAGGATTATTTTAAAATCCGTTCAAATCCGTTGGTATTCAATCAGGATTTTAAACAATGGAATCACAATCTCGTGGTATTCAAAAATCCGACGATTTTAATGGATTTTCTATTGGTGTGGATTTCGTGAGACTTTTTAGTGAAAAATATAAATAGGATGTCTCTCTCACAATTTCACCACAACCCCTAGGATTTCTTGAGATTCTTCTGTTGCAGTGTTTTCTTCTTCCTTTGACAGGTTGACTGCTCAAAATTGGATTCCGCCATGGGAGCTTCGTCAAAACTAAAAAAAAGTATATTTTTGAGCGATTTTCATCACAAAACAACCCAAAAATAACAAACCAACGAGATTTTAATATAATCTATCTCAAAAATAACATATTTTTGAGCTATTTTTGAGAAATTTTGGAAGTTATAAAGTGATTTTTCAAGCTATGGGTCGCGATTTTTCTTGGCATAAAAACGTGTGATTTTTGTATTAAAAACAACATAAAACAGTGAAAAAATAACAGGAAAACTAAAACCCTCAAACCAATTTTCGTTTTACATCAATGAAGCAATATCAATTTAAAGAAAGATTGAAACTTTTATAATATAAACCCTGTATTTCGTAACAATACATTCATGAACGAAATTTTTTCACTATAGGAAACAATTTCAAACAATTTTTGTGTCAATAGATAACTAAAAACTTGTTTCTCAAAAGCCCCAAAACAATTTAAGGTTTGAATGTATCGACTGAAATTTTTTTGAGAAATTTTCTAAACTTTCATGTAATTAAACCCAAAATTTCAGATTCAAAATTTTCTTAGAATATTCAATAAAAATATGCATATGATATATGGTTAGAAAACTCTCATCACGTAAAACAAAAACCCCAAAGTTTTCAAGATCAATTGAAAAAAATTTCAAACGAAATTTTATCATGAACTTTAGGTTCTATATGCAAATTTAGAATTATTTTTATAATTAAAAAAATTGGGTCTTATAATCATACATGCATAACTTTGATACCAAATGAAGAAGATAACTTTCAACCCATTAGATATGTGAAAAGCCGTTGTTTAGTAATTTTGAATGTTTGTTAAAAATTATATTATGTTTTACTGATTGAGAACATTATATTAGGTTTTACTTTTTTTTATTAATTTCATTGCATTTCTTGGTTATTTTTATGAGGTATATTATACTTACAACCTATTTTTGTTTACAACCATATTTTAACCGTTGATTTTCGTCAATCAATGATTATTATTTTCACAAATTAAACTCATTAATTAAACTTGGAAGTTAACCGTTGATATATGATTATTATTTTCGCAAATCAAACTTAAACTCAAACTCATTGAGAAAATTATATTAGATTTAATTGATATCTGGAGAGTTGTTGCTTAGTAATTTTTGAGATAATTTTTAACCCGTTGCTAAGTTTAATTTTTTTTATTAATATCATTGCATTTCTTTGTTATTTGTTTTTATTGACTCTTGTAATTTTAAATATTTGCTAAAAAATCATATAGTTTTTTAAAATCTTATAAATTCATATTGTCCTTTCAAATCTTATGAATTCTATTAAAATTATTTAAAATACAATCCTATGAAATCTTGATTGTAAAAATAGTCTTTTAAAAAAGTCTATAAAGTCTCTCAAATTCGAAAATGTCTTTTAAAATCTGTAGGATTTTTTTTTTTTTTTTAAATCCTAATCCAATACACCCCTTAGTTGTAAGAACTGTGTGATGAAAACAGAGCAAATTATTCTTCCCCTTTTAGTAGTATCACTTTCTTTTTGCTTTTGTTTTACACAACAAAAGAGAAACAAAATGACAATTCATGAACATGTAGCCATTTCAGGATTGTAATGGCCTCTCACTTTTTTTATGTCGTTTTCCACAACAAAAACAGTAATAATTAATGTCATTCACCCATTCATTGGTCTCTGTTTTTCTGAAAAAGATTAAACTAGAGATGGGTGTATTTGTAATATCACACTAAATTTTCAGTAATATTATATAATCATTCAAACATATGCTTAATAAATTTCACCCCATATTTTGGTAAACTTTTGGCCCACCAAATAATTTTTTTTTAACTTTTCTACCAAATTTATTATCCCACTATATTTTAGTAATTGTATTTCTCTACCAATTTTTTTTCCTAGACCAAACGCCCCTAAATAACTTTAAGAAATGAAATTTTATATGTATATAATTATGACTTTAATGTTTCTAAAGTAAATGTAGTTAAATTATCTACATTTGCTTCCAAAATGACATTATTTTCGGTTAAAAAATTATAATAAAAAAGAGTGTTATAACCGTAAAAATAAATTATAAGGGTTCGCTTTTTCTGCCGTTACTGCAGATAAGTTATCTGCAGTGAGACTAATACGACGTCGTTTTGGGACGGAGATCATTGTATTTTTGTAATTTTAATTTATTTTAGGATTATTATAGTTTTTATAATTATAATTTTCTAATCTTTCAATTCCAAAACGACATTATTTTAGAAGTAAATGCAGATAACTTATCCACATTAACTGCAAAAATATTTTTCAAAAATTATAATTATAAAAATAACTTAATTTTCATCACAAAATAACATCTTTTTGGTTCCACCGTACAAAAAGCCAACCCAATAATTATAGGGTTTTATAATTCTCATTCAACATGAGAATTCAAATTTTCCTACACACATTTCGATTCTCGTGCTAACCTGGGTCCTACATATAATTTTTTCCAACACATGAGTCCCATATGTTTTTTATCTTACAACAACATGAGAATTGAATTTTCATTCAATATTGACAAAATCAAACCCCATAATTATATATTGAATGTTAAATGATATAATGTTACAAGAATACTGAAACATAAGACCGGTTATCGAGAGCGGCGGCAGTGGCGGGAAGGTCGAGCACGGAGAATGTTCTCCTCAAACGCTGAATTTTGTTCTGGGTTCGCTCTCACTTCTCAATTCTGGTGCTCTACTCTGCACTCATTTGGTTTTTGAGCTTTTCTGTCAACTAACCCAAACCTTATAAACCCTAACACTAGCAATGGCGATGGATGCATCCGCAACCAACAATCTCGACGACTACTCACCTTCTTCAACCGTCATCAAGTTCGACCGGTCCATCCCTTTACTTCGAGGACCGTTACCGGCGGATCCTTCCGACGACCAATCGGCGGGGCCATACGTCCTGGCCTTCAGAGACCCGCAAGCTTGGGCCTCTTCATTCATAGCTTGCGAGCGCAAGATCGTTGAGCAGTGTGCGGAAGGGGCAAGGATTGGTTGCGCCATCAGCGCTTCCAGCAAGTGTAAGCCTCCTTGGTGGAAGGCTCTAGTGGGTCCCAAACCCAAACCCTCTGATCTTAGGGAGAGGGAGCTTTGCGAGGAGCGCGAGATGGAGGATTGTTTCGCTGCGGCGAAGGAGAAATGTGTTGGTTTCGCTAGGGATAAGTGTTTGGTTCCCTTCAGGGATGCGCGGATTATGGTTAGGGGAAGGTGTTTGAATTCGAAGGAAGCTGTGAAATTGATTCATTGGGTATCAGTACCTGAGAGGAGGAGCTCGTGGGTTATGAGTCAAATGGGTTCTAGGTGCCTGTTTGGTAGTGAATTCGCAGTGACGAATTGCAGGGCTAGTGAATTGCTGGGATCTGATGATTGTGTGAAATGCATTTTGGGTGAGCGGCAACAAGGCACCGAAAACTAAAGCAGTGTTTTGAATGAGGAAGCACATTCGGTATAATTTTGCCGCCTAATAGTGGAGGTAGCTTTTCCATTTCCAACACTTGTATTTAAACTTATTGGCTTAGCTCATTGTAATGCGTGTAGAATAAAGTAGCGACAATATAATGTTTGTTGATTTGTTGTAAAAGAAATCGAGAAATACATATTGCCTTTGAGCTGTACAAATGCATTATACGCAGGTATTTCCACACTAGTTTATGAGATATGTGCACCAAGCAACCTTCATTGATTTATTTGTATAAATTGATGTCACACAATGAGGGATATAATGCTATTATCCTTCATAGTCGTAGACATTTATTTGTATTTGCAACTTGGTAATGACTACTAGAAATCATATTTAGCAAATTTATTGACTGATGCTATTCATCATTCCTGACGTGGTTATGTTATGCTGGAAAATGTCAACTGTGTTGGTGGAGAGTGTTGTCTGATGTCTTGCATATAATATTAACATAATGTTGTCTGTGCACTCCCCATCATATCTAATCATATTTAATATATTCTAACACTCCCCCTCAAGCTGGAGCGTATAGGTCTTAAGCACCAAGCTTGTTACATATAAACTCTATTTTATTTCCCCATCAAGCTTTATATCCTTTAACTCCACATGTGTTTGGTTCTACGTGTTTTGTAAATCATCTTGGTCCAGGTTTGGATAAATTAGCTCCCAAGTCTCATAAATGTGTTTTTTCTGGGTTATCCTCGGTCTCAGAAGGGTTACCGTTGCTACTCTCCCACTTTACGTCGATACTTTATCTCGGCGGATGTCTCCTTTTTTGAATCAGTTCCCTTTTTTGGATCCTCTACTACTCCTGTGGATACTGATTCTGTACAGTCATCCCTCCCAGGTGACCTTCTTTACCTTCCGTCTTTACCCGTCTATGTTTCTGACTCTCCTTCTATCACCTCTTCTGCTAATGAGATCGAGCATAGTTCGTCAGATGTCTCTGTGGACTCACATTCAACTGCATCTCCTCCCACGGCTTCGGTCCCACCTTCGGATAGTGACCTTCCCATTGCTCTTCGTAAGGGTACTCGTGATACTCGCCCTCCGGCCAGGTATACAGTCAATATTAGTTACCATCGTCTTTCTCCATCATACTTTGCTTGCCTTTCCTCTTTGTCCTTTGTATCTGTTCCTAAGACTACAGGTGATGCACTTTCACATTCGGGATGGAGACAAGCTATGATTGATGAAATGAGTGCTCTTCATCATAATGGCACGTGGGATCTGGTGCCTCTTCCTTCTGGAAAATCTGTGGTTGGTTGCAGATGAATTTATGCTGTTAAGGTTGGACCTGATGGTCAAGTGGATCGTCTTAAAGCTCGCTTGGTGGCGAAGGGTTTCACTCAAGTCTTTGGCTTGGATTTTATTGATACTTTTTCTCCTGTGGCGAAAATGTCTACTGTTCGCCTTTTTATTGCCATGGCTGCTATTCGCCATTGGTCTCTCTACCAACTGGATATCAAGAATGCTTTTCTTCATGGTGATCTTGAGGAAGAAATTTATATGGAGCAACCTCCTGGATTTGTTGCTCAGGGGGAGTCAGGTCTTGTTTGTCGTCTCCGTAAGTCTCTCTATGGCCTCAAACAATCTCCACGAGCTTGGTTTGGTAAATTTAGCAGTGTTGTTCAACTTTTTGGCATGACTCGGAGTGCAGCTGATCATTCTCTCTTTTATCGTCATTCTGCTTCTGGATCTATTTATCTGGTGGTATATGTGAATGATATTGTTATCACAGGCAGTGATCGGCATGGGATCACTCGATTGAAACAACATTTATGTCATCATTTTCAGACTAAGGATCTTGGGAAACTTCGATACTTCTTGGGAATCGAGGTGGCCCAATCTAAAACTGGTGTTGTGATATCTCAGAGAAAATATGCTCTGGATATCCTTGAAGAAACTGCTCTGTTGAATTCAAAGTCTGTTGATGCTCTTATGGATCCAAGTATCAAGCTTCTACCAAATCAGGGGGAGCCTTTTTCAGATCCTGAACAATATAGAAGATTGGTTGGAAAATTGAACTACCTCACAGTCACTCGGCCTGATATTTCCTTTGCAGTGAGTGTTGTCAGTCAATTTCTCAATTCTCCATGTCAAGAACATTGGAATGCAGTCATTCGTATTCTTAAGTACATCAAGGCATCTCCAGGAAAAGGCCTTGAATATGAAGATAAAGGTCATGATAAAATTGTTGGGTACTGTGATGCTGATTGGGCTGGTTGTCCAGCTGATAGGAGATCTACTTCTGGGTATTGTGTCTTTGTTGGAGGCAACTTGATTTCCTGGAAAAGTAAGAAACAAAGCGTGGTTGCCAGATCAAGTGCTGAAGCAGAATACCGCTCCATGGCGACTACTACTTGCGAGCTCATCTGGCTTAAACAGCTTCTCAGAGAGCTTAAGTTTGGAGACACTGGACAGACAACTCTTATTTGTGATAATCAAGCAGCTCTGCACATTTTATCAAATCCAGTGTTTCATGAAAGAACCAAGCATATAGAAATAGATTGTCACTTTGTTCGAGAAAAGATTCTTGCTGGTGAAATTAAAACTAGTTTTGTACCCTCTAATGAGCAATTAGCAGATGTGTTTACAAAATCTTTGAGGGGTCCTCGAATAGAGTTTATATGTAACAAGCTTGGTGCTTATGACCTATACACTCCAGCTTGAGGGGGAGTGTTAAAATATATTAAATATGATTAGTCTGTAATTATGCTGATTAGTCTGTAATTATGCTGATTGTATTAGTCTGTTATTATGATGATTGTAATTAGGTCTGGGCCTTTCACTTAAAGCCTATTAGAGTCTCTATATATTGTAACTCTCTGAATTAGATCAATACACACAGAATATTATTTCAAATGTTCCTCTCTTCTCTCTCACTCTCTCGTTATTTAACACACAACTTTAAAGTTTAATTGTCTGAACAAATTTTTTTAAGAAGCTAGTAACATATTCCTTCTTTGGTCGGTGCAGAAATTATCAGAATCGCCATCTCGTAGAGTTTTGGGGAATTAAGCATCCAGGTTTTTCTTCACTCTTTTTTTGGATTGTGTTCTGACTATTATTTTATTAGTAAGTTACAAAGAGGTCTTCATTTGTGTAGTGGAATCATAAAAAATATAATATAGTCCCATCTATTTTAATACTGCATATGGTGAAGTACACAGAGGTTAGTTGGAATCTAATTGAATTGAATCTGAAAACTATATCCACTAAATACTTCCTTTTTACCATGCTGTTTTATTGTTTTTCTGCTTGTTCAATTTTTACCATGCTCAATGGAAGCCTGACCTTTGTGGATTGCAACCATACGGTCTTTTACTATTTATTTTTTTTTAATATTTTTTTTCTTCTCTTGCATGGTTGGTTATTAATGTTGAAGGGGATTTTGAAGGTAATATTTCATCTTCTATAAGTTGTAAAATTTTTGAGTCTGCATATTGTCATTGACTTGCTCTTGGAGTTGTTTGATTGGGTTTGGCATGAGGTTTCATTGTTAGTTCAGTAGACATTCTGCCTCGATTATCCTTACTGTTTGTGTCTATGGTTGGTGAGTTCAGCCCAATTCTGAGATGTGAGATTCATTACATCTTGTACATGTTTATTCGTATAGTGGTTCCATCTCTGTTCTGTACTCCTGTCTACATCTGATGGCTATGGACCTAGGATAATTTTAATTGAGAAGTTAAGTAAAATAGTGGTTCCTTTTAGCCGCTTCTCAAGTGATAAGGGAGATAAAAAGAGGAGGAGAAGGGTGGGGTGGTGGGGGGTAGAAGTCTTTCGTTTATTCTTGAATATAAATCAATAAAATGCTTCCCTTTATGGGTGGAATGTTTGTGAAGATGTTGTGATGTCTTTTTGTTCCCAGGATTTTATAGGCCAAATCTATTGTTTGAAAATGTGATTCTGCCTAAAGCTTACATTCACATGCAGAGACTACTATATTTGATAAAAAAAAAAATGGAGAATACAAAATGGTCACATTTCACTCAAATCCAAATCCTAAATACACCCAAATAATAGCTTACAGTATTTTCTCACTGGTGCATACACTCAACTGGTAACAAATAAACAAAGACAAAATGTTGAAACCGAAACTTCTTTGTGAGAGATGTTATGTTTGAGATGATTCAAGAATGTCACCAAGAGTGTGCTTTTACAGTGCCTCCATAGCCTCATGTGCAGATGTCCTTGTTTTGAGCTAAGCAACACAAACATTTAGCATCTCCTAATATAAAAGCGAGTTACAAACAAACTATTTATCTTTGCTTCGTCAAAGCAAAACCTCCAAATCCTATAGAGATGATCTCTTGCTTAAAATGATAGCTGATGTCAATATGTTTGGTTCTTTTTTATGCATTTGGTTTGTAGTCAAATGTTTTCCTTGGTTATCATAATAAACCACTGGAGTATCTTGTTCCAACCCAAATTGCCTACCCAATCATTTAAGCGGGATAGCTTACTTCACTCACTCTACTCCAGGGGATCCTTCCTTTTTCTTAAGAGCCATTTGCAATCAATGATGTTCCGTCCTTTAGCAGGCATAGTTTCTGTATACTACAATCTACACCCTGCATGGTTGCATTTTTATGCCCTTCGCTCTAGCTTGCTATCATCTATTTGCCCATATGGAAGACACTAAGGTGGTGTTTGGTTGGGAGCTTTTCAGCGGATATCTATGTTTCTCAAGTATGGCTTTTAGAAACACCATGTTTATTTCAACGTATTTTCACCAAAAACCCATCTATCCAATTTGTCTGGATTTATGAGAAACATAGATATCCGCACTGTTTAGAAACCCAATTTGAAGGTGGGATTTTTCGGAAAACTGGTTATCTGGCTTTTAATGCACCGTTGATTTCATAAAGTTACCTAATTTTCCCAGTAAAGTTTTTTCCCTCCAAACAACTTTTTTTTACATTTTTCTATCTATCTCACTTTATCTATCTTTCCAATCATTTCTCTATCTATTACATTTCCTTACTATTCCAAAAAAATTTCCTCAACCAAACGTCCCCTAAAGAATTCTTGGATCAGGATAATCAGCTGGATTACCAGACTGTACCTCGTTAGGAGTTTGTATTCACCAAATGACAAGACATATTAATAACTTCAATACAAAATTCCTTCGGCAACATGACATTAGATAGCATTTATCGAGCTCTCTTTAGAAGAGTTTTGTTCATATGTTTTGCCCCTTTATTTTTTTGTGGTGTCTTTTGCATGTTATGATGTTTTACCATGCCTTCCTTCTTAAAGAACTCGTTGATCAGTCCCGTAGAACTCAAACCATTGTCTATTCAAAGACGCTTGATTTTCTGGCCGATCTGATTGTCGATTAGCGCTTTCCATTTCTTGAAATTGGGGAGGACATCATTCTTATGCTTCAAAATCAAGAGATACACCCATTGTACCAAAAAAGAAGAAGAGATATACACCCAAATTTTCTTTGAAAAATCAACCGGCCCAACAAATCGGAATTCATGTAGTCAACCGTGCCCTTGATTCCATGAATTGGAGTGCTAAGCTCGACTTTAATCGGCTTCGTGAAGACATAATGTTCACAAAAGTCTAGCTTCCATAATCCTACAATGATTAAGTGTTTTTTTTTTGTTCGATTACAATGATTATGTTGATTTCCACTTGCTATTAGGGTTGGCAAAATGGGCCAACCCGGCTCGGCCCGGCCCAACCCGTATTCAACCCGAAAAACGAGCCGGGTTAAGGTTGGCTCGAAAAAAAAAACGAGCCAGAAAATCCAACCCGACCCGAGTCGGGTTAGGGTTGGCTCAAAAATATGGCTCGTGGGTTGGCTTGAAAAAATAGCTCGCAATTTGGTTCGCGGGTTGGCTCGAAAATTGGCTTGCGGGTTGGTTCGTTTTCAGCCTATTTAAATGACCCTGTAGTATTAATGCAGTAACTATGTGGCTTCCATCAACTTAAACAAAGGGTTACAAAATGATAAATAAAAGTAAAATATTTTACTTTCGAATTTTCTTCGCAACAAATTTGCATCAACATCAAGAAACAATCAGAATCACTTGCTACCAAGTGGGTAAGATATTTGAACCAAACAGAGCCAGCACAACCTAACAATATAAAAATGGCAGGGATGTGAGAAGATTATGGACTTAGGTTTAGAGAAGGAAGAAAAATGATGACAACATGTGTGAGTTTTGTCCATTTTTGTATAAAAAAAAACTCAACCCGCGAGCTGGCTCGTTTGACCCGTGGGTTGGCTCATTTTTTCATGAGCTGGCTTGGGTCGAGTTGGCAGCTAATTTTTGCCAACCCCACTCGGCTCATTTTTGGCGGATTACGAGCCGTTGGCTCGTTTTTGCCAACTCTACTTGCTACAAGATTCCATATCCTTTGAGTCACAGCCATTTATCTATTTATCTATTTATAAATTGTATTTAAATGAGAGGCAATTGAAATTTATTAAAATTAAAAATGTGAATAGAGTTGTCATCAATTGTATTTAAATGAGAAAAAAATATACAAACATTTTTTATTTTTAAAATTGGTTTTTGAAAATTAAGATTAGGTTCGAGAGTATGTATACGTGAAAAATAAATCTCTTTGCATTGTAATTTATCTATTTATAAATAATTACTTTAAGTTAATTTTGTAAATCATTAATAATCTAAAATATTTATTTTAATTAAAAAATAAAAAAGACATAAATGAAATAAAAATATAAATGATATAAACATAATTATTTTGAAAGAAAATTCAATTACTAAAATTTAATTTTGGCTTTGATGTGAAATTTAAAGATCTCAGCTTTCCAAAGCAAAGTTACAGGATCAAACTATATTTTCAAGATTTTAAGGATTTATTACAAAAATCTTAACCATCAATAGAGGAGCCAAAAAGAAAAGAAGAGAAATGAAAAAAAAAAAAAAAATATACCAAGGGAAGAGATCTTGGTCTCTAAATGCTTCTCTTTCTTCAACTCTTAGAATCCCCTTTCGTTTTTCACATCCTTCAATCTATAGAGAATTTGGAGAAATTTTGGCTGTATTTTCTTCAAAAGCTCTTCATTCTTGATTTTTCTTGTACCTTCATTTTTTACTTTTTTTTTTGTAACTTGATTTTGACCATCAAAACGGTGTAATTGGAATACATATTATTCATGTGAGTTGTATCCCTAAACGTTATCTCTCCAATGATATTTTTCTTTTAAGCTTTTTAACAGTATATAATTCATATTTATTAAATGTATATAACTCAAGTTATGTTTGAAATATCAAATAATTCAATTATTATTGAATAATACAATCCAAACTCAAAAAATATGGCCAAGATTAGTCAATTAAATGCATAAGTGGTTTATTCTAGTAAATATGAGGGTTAATATATGAAAATTAATGTTTATTGTATTTTTCACATGGGATAGGTTATGTATACTTACTATCATTTTTTTTATCTCCCCTTATTATCAATTTTGTTATTGTTGAATCAAAATCAAATCAACAGTTGCAAAATAACATCAAATAAGAGTCGTTGATTTAATTTTGATTCAACGATAATTGAATTGGTAGTAAGAAATGGTTAAAAAAAAAGGTATTACAACATTTAGCTTTTGCATGTCTTGTGCAAAGTAGAAATTTAATAGTAAAGGACAAAAATAATCAAACACAGTTTAGAAAATAAATATTTTAAAAACTCTCTTTCCAATAAACTTCAAACATGCAAAAACATGAGCAAAAAGAGTAATTATAGTTTCAAGGAGTTATAACATTCATAAAGTAACATTAACATATTAAAACAAACAAGGCAATCTGTTAGGTTCAGATGAACCTAAGAGGGAAAAACACGAAGAACAGAGAAAGAATTCTGAAATGTTTTATTCAATAGATGTTCTTCAATTGTACAATCAATTCCTTTTATACAAATTCACCCCACTGATAGTTCCTAACTAACTAATGCCAGCTCACTGTCCACGTGTTCATTAACTAACTAATATCACCAAAGTAATACATGCAACCGATAATTACTATTACACAGTATATGTATTCAAGATACAAAGTTAGTCAATCGGGTGGAATGCTTCCTCTCCCTAGCAGATCTCCTTACTGTAACATTGCCCATCCCTTCAGAATTAACCTTGTCCTCAAGGTTGATGTTGGGATAACACTGACGCATTTCATGCTCCTTCTCCCATGAAGCATCGTCTGGAGCTATGCCTGACCATTGTACCAGCAGCTCACGTTGAGGTTGACCCTGGCAAGTTGTGGAACGCACATCCAAAATGGCCAAAGGAACTTGAACTGGTTTATTATCCACGGCAAAAGGTGGTAACAAATTGGGAACAATTGGGGAAGAACCCACACACGGTTTCAACTGTGAAATATGGAAGACTGGATGAATCTGACTTCCTTCCGGTAGCTTCACCTCATAAGCAGCAGGACCTAGCACACGAGTAACCTCAAAAGGCCCAAAAAATCGTTTAGCAAGTTTATGGTTGGCTCTTCTTTCAACAGAAATCTATCGGTAAGGTTGGAGTCTAGCCCAAACTTGATCTCCCACATTGAAAGATCGATCCTTATGATGCTTATCATATTGCACTTTCATACGATTCTGGGCTCTTTGCAAATGTAACTTGAGTTG